TCATGGAAAAGTATGCCAGACATTCTACAGGACACAGAGAAAAGTGACAGACAAACTGCCAATACAGGTGGATAGTTTCCTGTTTTGCTGAGGAGTCAGCCAGACACTCTATGACCTATGGGCCAAAGATGGAACATTACAAAAGAACATTGGGTGACTGACCAGGCAGTGAGTTGTCTATCATTTCTAGAATTTATATATTATCCTTCTGTGGTCTTTGATGGAGTTGAAGACTGATAGTTATGGTTATAGTTTTCCTTAGTTAGGATTAAAGATAAGTTACATATAAGACTTTAGACTCACAAAGATAGATGATGGAGTATTTTCTTTAAATCTTGCTAAATGTTAATGAACTAAATATTGTTAACTATAGTTCTTATTTGATAACTGTTTTGTTATATATTTTACTGTGTTAAAGGTAAAACTCTTCTTATTTTAGACAGATAAGAGGAGGTGATGAGAGATGTCATTCTATAAATATGTTCTCTTATTGGTTAATTAATAAAGCCCTGTTGGACAACAGGAAAGCAAGATAGGCAGTACTAGGAGACAAGCAGGATTCTGGTAGATGTAGTAGAAAGGAGTCAAGATGTAGGATGGGAGAGAAGTAAGAGGTCTGGACCCTCTGCCAGGTAGATAAGACCATGGGGGAACAGTTAGGTTAATAGAAATGAGTTAATATTTAAGACAGAGCCGAAAAGAAGCTCTAGCCATTGTCAAACAGTTTTATAACAAAAAATTATTTTATTATTTCTGCTGCATGAAGTATCTCCACAGACTCTGGAAGAGTGCACTGTGTCTCCTGGAGCTGAAATGATAGGTGGTTGTAAGCTGCCTGATGTTCGTGCTGGGAACTGAAGCTAATGTCTTTTTTAAGTCAGAATAGTTTGTATTCACAGACTTTATGTAGAGAACCCCAGGGTAAGTGAATTGTATACCCAATCACTTAGTAGTCTTTCTTTACTTGAAACAAAATTGAACAAAACCAAGACAGGTGTATACAATACCAGAGTTAAAAGAATTCTAGATTTTCTTGGAGAATGAAAAGCCATTCTGAGTCCCTTTATAACATAGAGTTAATCATTCCCTCGGCTACCACCATCAATGGGTTCGAAAGTCCTTCTTTACTGGAGCAATTCTCTTTAGTGTCATGTTTGCCACGATTGTTTTTTAGATGTTTAATTTGTGTTATGCTTGGTCCAAAATCACAGCTCCTTTTCAAAATGTTTCAAACCCTAATAGGTTAACTGTTGTGGAATATTAGTTTAAGATGTGTTATATGTATTTATATTGTGGAATATTTGTTTAGTGATAGAAAGATGGGTTGCATTCTTTTACTTTGCATTTGTTTAACTCTGTAAAGTCATGTAATTTTGCCTGTCTAAAACACCTGATTGGTTTAATAAAGAGTTGAACAGCCAATAGCTAGGCAGGGGAAAGGTAGATAGGGAGAGAGAATAAATAAAAGAAGTCTGGCTCGGGGGAGTGAGGAGTAAGAAAGGGAGGAGAGGAGGATGCTAAGGGCTAGCCACACAGTCATACAGCCAGCCATGGACTAAGGAGGAATGATACATACAATAAAAAAAGAGTAAAACCCCAGAGTCCAAATGTAGTTAAAGAGAAACAGGATAATTTAAGTTAGAAAAGCTGGCTAGAAACAAGCCAAGCTAAGCACTGGCATTCACGAGTAAGAATGAATATTTATTTGGGAGCTGGGTGGTAAACCCCCAAAAAATTAAAAAAAAAAAAAAAACCTACCACTAACCAACATATTAGTCTCATGGTGTGCTTTCTCAACAGCACACAGGCAGTCTTCAGGTCTTGGACATTTTTCTTTGGGATGTTCTTAAGTGGCCTTCATTTCATCACATAAATGATAAAAGGCTATATGAGGTAAATTGTTCTGTATCTACACATCTTTATCATAATTATTTATACCTGCTTCTTATAACCTTCAAGAAGCAAAGACAGGGATGGTATACAACGTGAAAATCGAGGTCAAAGACACTGATGGCAGAGAAGAGGAATGAGGGCTTTCCCCAGCCCATTCTGCTCTTAGACTTCAGAAGCTCTGTCCTCCACTCTTACACTCTGGCTGACATAAGAGGTCAGGAGGAACTTTTTTTTTTTTTAATTAAAAAGTCAAAGATATCCTGGTAGGGAGGGTGGCTCTTAAAGGATTTTCCATCTCTTTTCAGTCTTTGTTATATGAAATTGAAGGGTTTTACTGAGCAGAACCGGAATCCAGATGCAGCGAGGGAGGACAAGTCCAGGCTACAGAAACCTACAGAGACAGCTGACCTGAGCTAATGGGACCCCAGACTGATAGCTGGGAATCCAGCATGGGGCTGACTCAGACCCCCTGAACATGGGTCTCACCTAGAAGGTCTAAGGGACCTCGGACAGTGGAACCAGGATGTATCCCTGGTGCACAAAAGGACTTTGGGAGCACATTCCCCATGGAGGAATACTCCCTTAACCTAGAGGCAGGAGGGAAGGACTAGCCCCTACTCCAAATGACTTGACAGATTTTGATGACCCCCTCCTGGAAGGCATTACCCTACATGTGGAATGGTGGGGGGAGGGGCGGGTGGTTAGGAGGTAGGGGAAGGTGGGAGAGAGGGAAGAAGAGAGGGAGGGAGAGGGAACTGTGATTGATATGTAAAATAAAAATAAAAATAAAAAAGAAAGAAATTGAAGGGTTTTAGGGGGGATGGAAAGGGAAAAGTACCAAACAACTTAGATCTCAATATAATATTGCCATATTTACACTCGAACTATGAATTTGTAAAAGTTGCATTTTCACCACTTATACAGCTACGTGCTTGGCATCTAGACAAGAATTCTGATGTGGCTTTTGTACATCATCAGTGACTGAGGGATAGATATCAAGGTGACCATGCAAATGCACATTCACTATGCTGTACTTCATAGGATAAGTCCAGGAGTTTTATAAGGATATATGACTACACCTTGGAGTCATAAGTAATAGACTTAAAGGGTGAGTAACAAATGATGTTAGAGAGGGAAAATCAGGTGAAAGAAATTCAGAAGGCTTAATTTACAGCAGGGGAGTGAGGAAATGATGCTATTTTTTTCTTTTTTCTTTTTCTTTTTCTTTTTTATTTTTTTCTTTTCCTAACAGCAGTTACAAGAACACAAAAGAAAATTCATTGGTTACACAATCTGGCCAGACTTGACTTGACTCTTGCTTTGTTTTGTTTGTCTTTGTTTCAATTTGAAAGACAACTTTGCTTTGGGAATCAGCTGAAACATTAGAAAAGCTTTCCTGTTACAATTTTATGGTAAAGATCTGGCTTGTCTCCTCTCAAAACAGCAACAGTTACAACAGCATCTTTTTGAAATCCTACGAGTTTTCTGCCTTCTCTGTCTTTTTACACCTTACATTTCTCCCACTAGGAGCTCTCTGTATTTTTAATGATAGCCTCTTAAGTCAGACAAATATCATAATAAAAGACAGAATTTGTGAAGTCTGGGAGCACAGTGGGCTGCTTCTGTCATCCATGTTTTGAGGCTCTTAATTGGAAACAAGAGGCCTCATATTTTTTGTCGTATTGTACCACAGACTAATTTAGATAAATGATTCTGGTTGTGTAGGAATAGAGGTTGTATGGAAATAAAACTACCTTGGTTCATTTCAGTTTCAAATGTCATTACACACTGAAGTTATGCTCATTTCTATTTATCTTCATTCCCATTACCAAGGGAATCCAAGTTAGCATTTTCTTTTGCAGATAGTATAGAAATAAGTAAAATTGTGGTACAGTCAACTTTCAAATGAGGGACATTAATAGAGATCAAGAACAATGCTTCAAATGATAAAAGATGTGTCAAGCCATTGAGATCACACTTCAATGCAAAGCATTTGTTCTCACAGGAAAAGATTACTCTCAACCTTGATCAGAGAAATCTGTCTTTGCAGTGAACAGTGGGAAATGAAGAGACCCATTGCTGCAAAGACACAAAGAAAAAGGCACAGTTGAGGACTGAGGTCTAAGCATGGCATTCCTACCACCCATTACGGCTAGGGAGCAGTGTGATGGCTGGGGAAAGACTGAGAATTGAAACTGGGATTTTGTGGATGTTAACCATCACTGCGCAAACTGTTTTATCCCACCCCATCTCCTTTTTAAAATAGACATGTAATATGAAGTCAAATACATTACCTTTTTAATTTTAAAGGCTGTATTATTAATGTATTTACCTTTTATAGTATCAATAACTAAGAACTTTCCAGTTTGGAGCCACACCTCCACCCTACATCATGTGACCGGGGTGGGAAGGACTCGATCAAACTCAGCCCAGCGTTTCTAGACCTGGCCTGCAAGAGGACTCCCGAAATACCTCTGCACCAACTGGGAGACCACCACCAGAGGAGAGTCAAATAATCAAGAATCACTGGATTCTATATCAAGCATTTAACTCTTTGATTCTTTTGAGATGTGTGTCATTCAAATGCAAGCAATTCCAAAAGCATGAGCAAATATGAGCTGGGTCTAGGCATCACCCACTGTTGACAGATCATTATTGATGTTAACCTACTAGTTGAAGAGTCATGTGGCTTCTGTTTGTTGTTCCATTCCTTGTGTTTTTAGTAAAATTATGTATATTCCATCAAGTTCCCAGTCCCTCAAGTTCTCCAACTCACAAATCTTTGAACTACTGAGTCATTGTTGACAAACCATACCTTATAACATTAGAGGCAGAATGAATCACTACTTGGGAGAAAATGCTCTTATTCTACTGGAATTTTTTTTTCCTAAGATAAAACAGCAATCACTCAATTGCATAACAGTACTGCTAGTTACTGAAGCTGTGACAGTATAGAGAGACAAACATTGTGTTTTCAAACAGCCTTGGTTTCACCCCACTGTCACTGGCTAGTGCTCGTAACAGTATAATGCATTTTCTTCTTTCAGGTTTAACAAATATACCATCCCAAATTAACACACACAATTCGACATATTATAAAGACTCACCACTACTAGAAGTGTCATTCAGGTTTAACAGTCCTCCTCCTAGCCCTCGGTAACTGTGGTAACTGTAGGTCCCATTGCCATTGATGTACAATACCTCCTGTGAGCCTGGGACAGTAGATGTTGAGTAGGTGGCCTGGGCTGCCTCGGGCTTGCACTGTTTGTCAGCAGAAGTAGCTTCATCCTGCAGTAAAACAGCATCCCGTCAGTGTGTTATTTCTGTGCTACCTCACCTGGCACACTCTCAAAGCCAGCCTCACGGTTGCAGTGGGCAAGAAAATCCCACTGAGTGAACATATTTTCTCCATCTTTGCTAAATAGTAATAGTATCAATAGCAAGGCAACAATGTGGAAGGCTTTAGATGGAAAACTTGACAATTTCCAACTAAATTTAAAATGTTAGAGAGTGCTGCTTCTCACTACCAAGAGGGGGAAGTTGCCTACAGGATCAATGACAAGTGAATGGACAGAGAAAACAAGGGACACATATGTAGTGGAGTTCTATTCACCCTTGAAAAAGGAATCCCTCACATGTACTATAAAACCAATGGAGCCCAAGGACATCGGTTAATTGAACAAGTGTGCTCTAATAAAGCAGATTCTGCATGGGAGGCGGCTGAGAAGTCAAAGGCAGAGTGGTGAGGTACAATGGTGGTCCACAGATTTTTATGTAGTCAGGCTGGGGAACAGGGTTATATCATACAGAGAAGTAGGAGCATGGACTAGCATCTATGGTTAGTATTGTTCACTTCCTCTCTTCTTCCTTTTTTGTTTCCTCCTCATATCCATTCCTATTTCTTCCTTTTCTCATCCCCATTCTATTTTTATTTTATAGTTTAAAAACATGAAGGGTGCTTTTTTGTTTGTTTGTTTGTTTGTTTGTTTTTTTTGTATTTAGTATTGTCTCTACACTAGGCCTATTTCTGTTATGACAGGAGCCTGACAAAGGCCTTAGCAAACGACTGTATCCATCAGGTGTTTGTTTTTGGCCTTTATGTTTGTATGCACATTCACCATCATCCATGAGACTACCTTTACACCAGGGAAAAATGTTGAGTTGTAAGGGAATAAAAAATTAACATTGTAATGAATGGTATATTTTCAATAATAAAATGACTGAATTTCTGTTTAGTTATGAGTTTATGAAGTCTAAGATGTACGACATGAATAGTTTAATTTCACTGCCTTATACATTATTTATATGTCTTCTGACTTCATCCTTCTCTTCAGTCTTCCATGTTGAGAATGACCTTCTGTGAGCAAGGCAAGCTCTTTACCACCAAGCCACATCCCTAGCCTTCTTTCATTTTCAACAAGAAATATTTCTAAACATAGATTTCTAATGAATTTTAGTAGTGAATTTTTTATAATTAAGGGTGTTTTGCATGGCTTCAAGTTAGTATAAAGTAGACGTTGAGTAGACTGCATAATTGTCAGATCTTTTCCAGGAGATACAGATGGTAAACAGGGAATAAAGGTTGTTCTGCAGCTGAGCTACACTATATTGATATCTCATCTTTCATATAATGAAAACTTGGCATGATTCTGTTCTCAGGTAGGGTGATGTACTCATCTCAAATGAGCTGTTCCGCTCAGCCAAATGTAAATGGCACATGATCTACAGCTTTTATCTTTATTTCCAGTATGTTTCTAAGAGGGAACTTGAAACTTGATGACTTCCCAATCTTAATATCTAAATGGTACAGTGATACCAATGACTGACTTTCAAAGTAAAAAATGAGAAGAGAGACAAATGGAAAAGAAAATATTACATGAAAATGTATTTGAATTTTGTTGTAATTTATTTACTAAGTATGATTATTTCTAAAAGTAATAAAAGCAGTGCTTCTGAAACTTGTCTAATGCAAAATCATGAGCTGATCTAAATTGATACACAGTTAGAATGTTGGGTTTCAACTTCAAAGGTTGCCATTTGAACCATGACACTCTTGGAGGTCATATTACTTTCGAATGCCATTTTTCTGGGAGAAACTGTCATGCAGTCGAGCAAAGTCCAAGACAGAACCAGGATCTGCTACTGCTGTCAGTTGGCAGGCTTGGTTCACTAATTTTAACTTCCTACCAATGAAAAAGCCCCCAGAGAAGTTGAGTTTCAGACTGGTTCTCTGTAGAAAAGAATGTGGGATCACGAGACCCACCTTTGATAACTGAGATTTTTAAGTACTTCTCTATTAGATAGGCAAATACTAGTTTGGTATTTAAGGTGAATTTGCAATTACCCATCCTAAGCAAGCTTAAATACGTTGGGATAGTGAAGATGTTGTATCCAGAAATCCATTGCTGTTGGAAGTATGAGTCATAACAAACAGGACTCAGGTAATCAGGCTGATGATAGTGATGTTGTTAACAAGACTCACCAACCAATCAAATGACCATTGTGGGAAAAACTAGATTTGACAGGGGTGATGGCAATAATCAAGTCATATCCTGCTGTAACTCATACTTGATTCATCAGTCCCTCCAGTGAAACAGTTTCCTGTGAGGGTGTGCAAGCACCTCTTTATGGGCATAGCACTATCTATATTCCATTTGTAATAAAAATAATTGACTTGAAATTCAAAACTGAATATCTAAGTGATGCTAACATTTTTATTTTGTGAGTGAGGACTTTAGCCATTTTAGATTTGGGGTTTTAAAAAATCATTTCAAGTTTTGGACATTCAACAAATATACTATGTAAATGTAAAAAATACCAAACACTATAATATATGATACACTGGTCCCAAGCAGTTTATCCTACATATACTCAACCTGTTTACATCGATTCCTTCAAATTAATATAGGTATGGCATATATCCCCTTAGCTTGAATTTATTAAAGGATGAATAGATGATGTTTACATGATGCAGAAGTTGGTTGTTGAATTCTGCCAAAGGTCCTTTTGTTATGAGCCTGGTTCCCATGGTGAAGTTACTGAGAGCAGGTGCAGCTCTCAGGAGTGCAGTCTTTAAGGTCCCTGGGGACAGAACTCTTATTGGATGGTGGGATCCTAGCCACCCTTCCCATGCTACTCTTTTGCTTTATGGTTCAGGATATAAATGATTTTGTAAATGTTTCACTTTTTCTTGTTTTCTCAGCCCTTGACACCCAGGTAATCCTGTCATATGTCTAAAACAACATAGATTCTTGGTTAGATGCTTGCAAATCCCAAAGTGTGAGTTAAATAAACTTATAACTATCTCTGGGATATTGTTATAGAAATACAAAGCAAGTAATAAAAACACTAAGATAAATTTTTCATGCATACACCTATTATTTCTAAAAGTATTATATTCTTAAAATGGTCTCTATGTAACTTGTATAGTTTTTAGGGAAGACATCTGAGAGTCTCCCTAAGGTTGTGAGTTATGGGAAACTGACATGTGCCATACCACATCTTTTCTAAGAGTCATAGCTTTATTTCCCTGTGAACTCACCAAATGACTGCATCAAAGCATTATGAATATGACTCAGGTCTAAAATATTCCCGCTGCAAAGACATATCTATTGAAGTCTCAAAGGGCATCACAATAGTCTCTGTTCTCAGGGTCCTTGTGAGGGTCAGCCTCAGGTTTACCATTCCTATGGTGTAAGTAATATGGGCATCTAGTTTCAGAGAAGTGACGGCTCTCCTCGGATACAGTGGTCTCTCATGTCTTGTTTAAAGTGACAGGAAGATTTACTCACATGAAAGGGTTTTGTTATGTAAAAGGGGAGACATTATTCCTGCAATATATTCTTATGTATTCTTTGTATGGTAGAATCAATTTGTATTATTAAGTGTACTAATTTTAAAATTTGACTCTTTCTTTATTAACTGCTATTCCGAACTGCTGTAGCTGTACTGGGAAGGCAGAAAATTAATTCCATTAATAATAATCAATGCCAACTTTCTAGGGATTATTTATATTCAAACTCATATGTGCATTATTAGCGTTCTGGAAGTCCACTATACCTAGAGAAATAAAAACACCTTTGCCAATAAAATATGTTCTGCAGCATCTTTTGGACAAAGGTTTAATGAGAGATAATTCATGTTTTTATCTTAGGGAATAATCATTTTCAAAGAGAGCTGATTTTAATGACATTAAAAGGTACATCTGTCCTGGAATCATGTTTTACTTTTGTCATCATCTTCCAGTAATTAATATTTTAATAAGCGCTCACAACTTTCATAATTACCAATTCAACGTGAGTGCCTACAAAGGCTGTTTTCAAAAGGGGGACATATTAACATGCTACAAAGCTTCATATCTATATAGTGAAATACATTTAGTTCTACAAGAACATGAATGACCCTTTTCATTAGAAATATTTCAAAATTTATAATACATAAAAATAAGGATCAACAATTGAATGACCATGAGCTGTGGTCTAGACAATTCACATATCCCCCCCTTTCTCTCTCTGTTTCTCTTACACATATGGCTTTGAAAAAAATATTCAACAGAATAAAGAAGTATTTTTGTTTCCTTTCATAATTAGACTCTGGCCCCACCTATTTATATCTCCCTCCTACCCTCACGGTGAATATACATTTGCATTTTGTGTGGGAATGGGCTTATAAGAGAATGGGCAATTGCTTGTCCAAGGATGGCAAGACTAGGGTGGATTGGGGAAGGGACTTTACTTTCAGCTATGAGTCCATCATGTGTCCTTTGAGGTTCTTTGAGTTCCACTCCCAGAAACTGATCAGAGTCACACTGAGGTCTACAGTTGTGTTTCTGGTTCCTTGATTGCCCACACGGATGGAGTCCTGATCCCATGAGACACATAGGATATTTTCACTCAATACCTTCCACAAACAAATTCTCTCTTTAACTGAAAGTCTTGATAACATCTTGATTTTAGATTTTATGACATTTATATTTCTATATTTACCAACCATTCTTTATTTTGGTGACAACTTTGTCTATAAAGACATGCAGGGTTAGGAATAGGTTTTTCCGCTAGTCTTCCCTGCCTCTCTGGTCTCAGTTCTGTGCCAGCCCCAAATAACACAGAGACACTGCATTAGATATAATTCTGTTGGCCAGTAACTAGTTTCTCATTGGCTAGCTCTGTCTTAAATATTAACCCATTTCTATTAATCTAAGTATTTCCACATGGTCTCATCTTATCAGGGAGAGGGCCCTGCATTCTACTCTCTCTGTCCTCTATGTTGAATCTCCTCCCTGTTTCTTC